AAGGGAACCCATTGTTGTTGTCTGGTGAGATTAATGTAACGGTCATAAAAGACATATCAAGATATACTAAGAAGTGTATTCACCCTATTCCATTTAATGTGATGAACGTGTGATATTTGAGTACCACATATTTTACCCTTGATGGTAAGTTATGCGAACAAACGCAAGGATTAGCGATGGGATCTTGTCTGTCTCCCAGCTTGGCGAACAATTAAATGGCAAGATTAAAGGAATACTTCCTGCAAGAGGCATTATTAATCCCTAAATTGTTGGTTAGATACATTGATGACTATTTTGTCATTTGACTTCATAAAAAGGACAGTTAAGATAATTTCCTACTTTCACTTAAACTGTGTGAAAGAAACGTTGGGTTCATGATGAAAATGGAAGAGAAGAAGTCCTTACCTTTTCTGGATGTTCTCATCAGCACTATAGTTACAAAAGTAAGGTTAGAATTTTGAAGTCAATGATTCTTAGAAGTATAAGACTAGCGGATAGCAAACATTTGAATAAAGAGATATAACAATGACAAATATATTCCTCGAAAAGAATTATCTTTTGGAGCGTATTGAGAATAATATCTCTCTACTGAGGAATACATCTTCAAACGGAGTCAAAGATAGACAAACAGAGACATTCTCTCATGTCCTTATTTTGCTGTCATGCCTTCGCTCAAAAACATAGGCAAATTAGTAAAGAAATGAGGCGTAAAAACAGTGTTTAAAGAGACCCTCGCAATTTCTTCTGTTATGCCACCTTTTAGAGAAAAATACGACCCATTGTCGAGATCCGGCTGCTACAAGATTAATAGCTCATGTGGTCGATGTTATGTTGGTGAGACACGCCGACCTATTCGACAAAGATTGGGAGAACACAGAAATGCTTGTAAAGGAAGTTGAATCAAAAGGCCAGAAGTGATCAAACATATGGTAGAAACTAAACATGAAATAGAGTGGTCTCAAACTATTAGGTTTGCTGATTATGGTACGTCTGTGGTTAAAAATAGATAATAGAGGCTATTGACATTAATAGCTTAAAAAATACGTTAAATGTGAGGAACGGTTGTATAAAGTTAAGTATGAACTACTTATGCTTGATTGATAGATTGAAAGAGAGAAAGGTGGTTGAGCCGCCGTCAATAAAAAGGCGATTCAATTTGTCTGCTCGGTGGTGGTTCTAATTTTACTCAAATTCGTGCACATGTTAGAGTAAACTCATCAACCAAACTACACATGCCGGATTACGCAGCCTTAGACATGCCTTTCATTGGGGGTTAAAAGTTAATGACCCTAGACTGGGAGGTTAGGACAAGTGGTCAAGGCTTTTTCTTGGATCATTAGTTCTTGAGGATCAGAACCTGAGATTAAACCTTTAACAACTCTGACTTAGGAGCCGTATTTCATATATACGCTAACACGCACACATACACATACGCCTACACTAGAGCAAAATTAACAGGACCAGTATGAAAGATAATTAACCAGACCACTATATATCTATATAACAAGGTTTTTAATATTCTTTTGGCTTGTTTGAGTCTATATAAGAAGTAAGATAGAGGCGGATAGTGTTCCTGCTCTTGTGTTAATGTGAGACTTTTAAAAGAATGACACCTAGCTCTGATGATGCTTATCATTTGACGGACAAAAGCTCAACACGTTTTCAACCGAAACTAGGGAGGAAGTCTCGTGGACTGCGTCAACATGAGTATCGTATAAAAGTCAAACGGCTGTAGAAAAACGAGATTTATCCGTCATAACCTGGTGAGATCGATTAACGAATCTATTATTTATTCGTTTTCATACGAACTGAAAGTTTCCTTAATAATATATTAATAGCTAATTTTATTCCTAAACATAAACTACGCGATCAATGCTATTTGGAATCTCATGGTCATGTAGTGAGTAACTAAATTAATTAAAAGAGATAGCATTATAAAATCCTCAAAACTCTTACATAATGCTAATGCAAACGACCTTTGTAAAATTGTACTTACTGATTTCTGGTACGGGCTGAACGCACGTCTTAGGTAGTGAAGTCGCATCGTATGTTGTATTCCAAGAATCAACTTTTACCGGATAGCGAAATCGTAAATCTCCAATAGGTGGCTTTGCGAACGGAATTCCAAGAAAGTGAAATACTTGTTTGCCTAGTAATTTTTTTGAAAAACCTCGGATTGGCCCATTCGAAGTTTTGAGATCAACATAGCTTAACCCCAAAGTGACAATGAAGCTATAACACACCAAAACGAGTAAAATAAGATTAAATGAACTGAGGCAATGTTTGAAGGCTATATCAAAGAACATGGCAGACTAAGTGATTTTAGCTACACCAAAGAGGATTTTCGTATCCTATGGCAGAACGGAAAATTTTAGTGAACGAATGAAAGATGCGAAAATAATTTTACAAAAAAATCAAATTAAATTAAATGTACGTTGACTTAAATATTAATAAATATAAAAATCTGTAATATAGTTAGAAAAAACATAGTTTATATCTATGCTTTTAATATTATTATTTATAATTGCGGCTTCATCAAGCAGCGATGGTGGGTTTTCCTTCTTGCTCACGTTATTTGTGCACGTGTCGAATAAACTTTTACTTTTTAGAAACCTATTGTCCTTCATGGACATGAACGTCCTATTACAAAAATTAAATATAATCGTGATTGCGATTTGATCTTTACGTGCGCTAAAAATTCTGAAGCCAATGTTTGGTACTCCTACAATGGAGAGCGACTTGGAAGCTACCACGGACACAGCGGCGTGATATGGTGCTTAGACGTGGACTGGAGAACGGATGCACTTCTTACTGGTTCTGGTGATTCATCGTGGAGATTGTGGAGCGTTGAGACAGGTATAGTTCCGATTCTACTTTTATGTAGGTACTTGTATAAACTCTGTTGAAACAAATAACCCTGTTCGAAGTTGCGGTTTCTCATATTGCGGAAATCTTTTTTTCGTAACTACTGACGAGGTAATTGGGCGTCACTGTGAAGTCATGGTGTACGATAAGCGTGATGATTCTCATGTGAGCAAGTTGTCCACATTGGCTAAAAATTACTGAAATTGCTAAAATTAAGCTAAAGTTTCTTTTAGATGTTAGGAAAATCAAATGTGTTTCTGCAACAATTACCAGAGAAGGAGAAAATAACTGTTGCTGCTTTTGGACCTAACGACGAGACTATTATTTGCGGACATGAAAATGGTTCGGTCACGCAACTGGATGCTACATGCGGTGAATTCTTAAAAAAGACCAAACCACATTCAAACATGGTCACAGATATCCAGATGTATCCTGATCTAACCATGTTTGCTACTGGCTCGAAGGACCGCACAGCTAAGGTATTATTAAGTTATGACAAGCTCAATCTTAATCTTTTTTTTGTATTTTAGTTGATTGGGTCTTATGATCTGGATGTATTCCAAACCTACTTGGCTGAACGACCCATTAATTCAGCTGCGATCTCTCCTACAAGAAATTACGTCAGTTGCATTTTATGATCGTATTGAGACATTATAGTTATAGCTTGTTTTTATTAATTTCCATGTATTAACATATATTGAGGTGTTTATCTAGCTTATCAAATATTACTTTCTACCTTTAAGGTTTGTATTTTCAGTGAATTTATTTATCTTTTCTTATGCCATTCATATCTTTTTAAGGTTAAATGATGGTCTAACCTAACAAGGATTATCGTCCTTTATGCGTAGCCACTGATAAATCTGCACTTATCGCTAATTTGGTGTTTATTATAATAATTAATTATGAGGTTTGTTGTCTATTACACGACTTGGAAATCCTTTCTCCAACTCATACAAATCTCACAGCAGACTTCCTTTCATATATATATTTTAATTGATATGCTATCCTAAATATGGATACCAATACATGGCTACTATGCAAATAATCGTGATTGCCCTATTTCCTATCAGTAGTAATTTGTAGCAGATGTTGCTATTTATCGTTATCAGTGCATATCTATATTGCTTTAGTGCTTTCCGACAGCTTGTTTTTTACAATCTTTTAATGGCATTTTTTACTTCCAGTAATTGTGTTTAACCGACTTTTATACATAATTTTACGCTCCATTTCTTTGAAACTTACGTAATTTGCAATATTTTGCACTTGTACATTCATATTCATTTGTACTTTTCAAGGTATTGATTGGGGGTGGCCAAGAGGCGAAAGAAGTAACAACCACGCATACTAAGGAGGGCGGTTTTGACGCTCGCATATATCATCTATTTTACGGCGAGGAGTTTGCTCGTGTAAAATGCCACTTCGGCCCTATCAATAGTGTTAGCTTTACAATTGACGGAAACGGGTGCGTTTTTTATGTAAAATTATCTTTATTGCATATTGGCAACTTCTTAAAGTAGTTTTCTGGCAGAAAGACCAGCTATCACCATATTAACGCGCTATATGGATTTTTTTACAAATTAAATCTCATTTGAA